ACCAGAATCATTCGCTTACGATGAAATTAAGTTGAATTTTACTTGCATTTTATTTTTTGTACGTTATTACAACTACTACTGAGTAATAATCGTAACCGTGGAATGCAGCATGACCGGATTTTGCTACCGTGATCATTGACTACTAAGCGTTGAATTTGTGTTTGTTTTATTTTTCTGTTGATTGTACGGCAAACTGTGAATGTTTTCTAAAGAATGATATTTTTTGTATAACTTTCTAAACTGTCTGAAAACGGGTCATTTACTCAGTATTTAAAATAAAGGCTACAGTGACTAAGCGTCAGACTGTAATGTAAAATATTGTCAATAATCTATCACCAGAATGGAGCAAAAACAATGGCTTGTAACACAGTTACCGGTACTAGAACTTGAAGTGCTTGAAATAAGCGCCATTTGAAACAAAGTTGCTCAAATTTAACCACAAATAAGCGCCACCATGACATGAAAGTGTAACAAAGTGGCGCCTAATTGAAGACAAATACGGTACTCAGTAAGTAATGCAACAGAAAATAAAGAATATCTCGTACATTTTATTGGAGTAAACTGCTCAATTTTAATTCAGAATTTTCACTACATGTATTTCAAAATGTGAGTGAATTTGAGAAAATTTATGAAAATTTTATAGTAGTCAAAGAGACTTCCTTTAGTGTAATTTTTACGGCTACATTATTTCACGATTTTTCCTGACCAGTGAAATTCACGGAAATTTGTCTCATGAAGTAAATCGGTTTATATATAGTACCAGTAGATTACAGCAACAATGTCTTCAATTTTTGGGTTTATGTGTAGAGAGGACAGAAGATAGATCAGTAGAGTTGTATAATAAATGTTATTCAGAGAGTGGTCATTAGGTCTCACCTTCATAACCAGCACCGTTGGTTACCCAACCAGGGTCTTTATCGATCAAATTACCTCGTCTTGATGTCATGACAACGATATGCTGTACATCTCGCCAAGTCAACGCAGAACTGAGAAAATTTAAATATGTGAAATGTTTTTAGTCAATTTGATTTCCAAATATAAATGTTTTATTTATTTTTATTTGAAGATTATGCTTTTAATTTTTTTTATTGTTTCTGAAATTGACAAAAAAAAATAAATTAAAAACTGAAATACACAATGGCATAAATATATTTCGTGGACCTAATACAGATTACTAGTATTTGAAATCAAAATGATAAAAATTAACTAATTCCAACAAAAAAGTAAAGGCTTGTGTGAAGTACTGCAGGGCAAACAAATATTCTTGTCTTTAGTGTTCTTTTATTTCCGTTGAATTCTAAAATCAGCATGTTTTCTAACTATGAACATATTTCTATTGCTGAATAACAATTACAAATATTCAAATTGGTTACCATATTTCTTATACAATCTTAGAGTCGCATGAAATTCACTTCTCAATAATAAAGAGTCATAATACAAACACATAAGCGTGCAATAGCAATCATTGTATATCCTGCATTTATCACATAGATACAAATGGTCTCACTCATTAGTGGCTGCAAGCCATGAAAAAACTTTTTTACTAAAACTTACTTAGCTTCCAATACCAATGCTATCAGGCCAGCTGCAAGTGGTGCTGAAGCAGATGTACCAGTATGGCTATCTGTACACTCATGTTGGAGATCTGTTGAACTCTATCAAGAATGAAAACACGGTGAAGATTCGTACGGTATTGTGCATGTATCGGTGAAAGAAATAGTCATGGTTTTTTAGAGATTTGTATATACTTTGAATATGTATAGCAAATAACTTTTTACTTGAAAGAAGACACTTTTGATGAACTTAATTGTTACATCGGTTGCGGCTTTGATATCCTTGCTTTGAGTATGTGAGTTTATTGTGAGTTATTTCAATGATAATGTCATTCCATTATAGTTTAATAAAATATGACATATTTTGGTCATAACACGCCTATGTCATTTACATAATCACATGCACTTCAAATAAATCGAATACAGTAAACCACTTTTCACATTGCTGTATTTGCCCTATTAGAATCGTATCTCCAACACAAGCACATATAAACCAAATAATTATAAAATACTCATGTTATAATAATACGTACGGTTAATAACAAAAAGTTACAATATTCTGTTGCCAGGCATTTTTGTTCTCCCCCTCATTCAGATTAATGGTAATAAATATACTCGCCACATCACAAAACAACGTGTGATATTTAAATTAGGCACATTAACTCCAACTGGGATCACTTTTGATTTCAATGCTTTTCCCTTATGCTAACTTTCAGGCTCTCTATTTTCGATTGGTCCCTTGATTTAGTTGAGCAGTTTTTAGAGGGCATCAGACTCTCACATTTTTGCTGTCATTGATAAATGATTCTGACCTGAAACGTCTGGTTATTGCTATTTTCTTTCCTATGTGTCGCCCAATTTTCTTGTTTGGGTTATATTTTGTATTTCAGTTATTGCTTAGGCGCACATCGCAGTCATTTTGATGTCTATTTGTATCCTGACAACTGAACCTATATTTAGACCACTGTGTCAACGTGCCTGGCCAAGATTTATAAAGAGTAACTGCTAAGTGTTTTCACTGATCTTCAACTTTGTGACCCAGATCCAGACTGTGGTCCATTTCTGTCACTGATTCAGATCAAGGTCATGACCTAGCATTACAATCTAAGCTAATCATTTATTCTGAACATGCTCAGTTGTTCTGTCACAGTCAGTGTTGTTGGGAGAGGTAATTTTGGATGAAAATCAAGAAAAAGACCCACGTAGGATTTTCAGATCTGGAAAAAAAAAATTATGTGCATATTCAACAGAGACCTGCCAAGTTTCATCGATATCTGGTGCAGAATTTCTGAGAAAATGTTAGAGATGTAAAGGAAACATCACAGACGGAAACCGGAAATAAGAAATTACGCTGCGCCTGAAACGGGGACTAAAAAGTAGATTTGCTGTATACTGAATCATTTAAATATGACTTATTTTGACCATAGATACACATCTTTAATTTACATAAGCGCATACATTACTGATAGAGCAAATACAGAATGTGAATATCTACACATCATATTGTTTTTCATTGGTGGAATTACTTACGATTTGACTCCCTCCTTGTTCACCACTGCTATAGGTGGTAGCTAATGTAGACGAGCATTGCTCCAAATACCACGGTATATTTCCAAACTCATCAACACTGCTAATACTCATAGTATAGATAGAGTCCTGGTATCCATCACAGTTACAATTATCAGAATTGTGACCACCATTTCCTGATGCCCACACAAAGATATTACCTTTGCCGCCACGCCCCTACAGAAAAAAAGAAGGCATCATTTTGATGATATTGATTTAATCATTGCACATGAGAAGAAAATTGGGAAAATTATAATTGTGTGAGCCAATTAAAAAGAATGAGCTCGTCAAATCATTAGTAACAATCACAGTGGAAGTCAATGTTTTAAAAAACTGTTAACAATCAGTTAGTTCACAGCTTGGTACGATGAATCACAGAATGATACCTCTGTCACACCATCCTTGAATGCCTTTTTAGCTAAGTTTCCTGGTCCATCGACAGTTCTTCCATCATCGTCTGGACCCCAACTTGCACTATAAATATCAATGTGTTGCTTGTTGAAGCTGAGTGATGCAGCTTCCACGGCATCAGTTACTACTCCGTCCAACATACGAATACCTGAGTAAAATAACATTACAACACAGTTGTGGATTGGTAAAACAGAGACTGCTCTTAGTATATACAAGTATAGTAATATTCGTTTAATTTGCTTTGAACAATTTTAGACATGAAAATTGGCTTAACAGGAAAGCACAGTTAAAGTGTCCTACAAGTATATATACAAAACATTTCTTGAAAGAGAAAAGATTACCTCCAATCTTTGAATCATACGCAACCCCCACACCGCATACATCATTGTTAGCTTTCATAGCAACTTCACCAGCACATCGAGTACCATGCCTTCAAAATCAAGCAAAAGGCAAAAAGTTAAAGACAAGCAGCCTCTCGAGCGATGTTATGGCAGATATTACGAAGCCCATCTTGTCGGGAAAAATAACCCTGCGTTGATAAAAATGGTCTCAGAAAATGTTTAGAAAAAATAATGTTTCGCGTTGACCAAATATAATCATGCAAAGTATAAATTAAAAGTGTTTTAATACATTGGTGAGAGGTCGCATCACTAAGAAGGAAAAGCAAGCCAAAGTCGAAACTGGGTGCATCATGGACATGACACAACACACGCTGCGACAACTGAGTGATCAGCGACATCATTTTGGGACACAATTGAACTGAAGTACTTTTTTGCGAAACTTGCTGCGCGGCGATGCTGACATCAAGTGTGTGTTGACCGAATTTTGACCCCAAGTCACGAGCTGAACTGGCACGTTACCTTAGCAACCTTTTTTTTTTTTCGTGCCCCGCGTCAAACTAGTAAAATCGTTATTATATCTGAAGGTACTGTAATTACGCAACTTGTATGCAACTCTGTACTGGCTTGAATATATCAACTTGAACGTCATTTACTTAGTGTACTGCTTTTCTAATCACGCAAATTTGTTTACAATATTGTACCGGCTCTGTACTTCGTTATGTATTGCTTTCATGATAATTATTTTTTTTTACACTATTGTTAGGGCACTGACCCAGGGTATTGGGTCTGTGAATATTTCAATATCACCGACTTATGTGTTGCATTCATAATAATTACGCAAACATAAACATACCATACGTCAAATAAAATTTTACTATAATATAATAAATTCTGGGCAGCGGACTTCGATCGCATTATTCACGTACATTTCGACTGAACTCTAATAACCACGCGTTTGAATTACGTGCGGCACTGGGCAATGACATCCAGAGTTCGTGCACTGATATTTAAATTCGGGCCACCCAGCTTGACGCAAATCAATATAGTTCATTTGTTCAAAGAATCTTTCAACTCTCACAAATACCATGAACGCGAAGAGTTAACTGGGGGTTAAATGAAAGAGAACGTCTTTTTTGGAGAAAAAACACGTCAGTACAAGATTATGTGTACAAGGTTAGATTTATAGAACATGACCGCTTAACTCTGTTTTTTACTGAATCCGGTATAATGAAAATGTGACACGAGGTCAATCGCCCGACCAATCAAAAATGTCAATTTACGCACCATAGGGCGGTTCACTTAAATGACGTAATAGAATAATGGCAGGCACATGGTCGATGCAACCCTGTGGACCAGCGACGAAAAAGCCCTGTACTAAGCTTTCCATCACGGAAATTCGTAATCGATGTGCTGACCGATGGATATTTATCGACTAAGTAATAATCTTGCCCAACATCTGTAGTGTCGTGAGGGAATGATTTTTTTCACATCAAATCTTTACCGAACCTAAACTGCTTGCTAACTGAAAGGCTGTGATGACGGAGATCATCTGCGATTGCGGCGACACCAAGTACTGATAACATAAAATTATATGTATATTTTTAATGTCTTCATGCAATATATTCTGAGTTATCCACTTTATTCTGGCCCACAAATAGGATACAATTTTAAACATGTTTTTGAACGGCGCGAATTAAAAGGATACATTTAAAAATTAGTGTTCGAAAATAAAATGGGTGCGCAAACTAATAGAGACCGCGAATTAATCAAGTTTTTACGGTAGTACTTATATATGTAATATCAAAGCAATTGGACTTGCATTTTTTAACAAGAAGTCAAAAATATCACTTTTTACCAAAAATGACAAAAATATTCACCAAAATTAGA